CGCTTCCTGTGTCCCATTGAACCTTGAAAGAACCTCACACAACACATGCCAGATCGCTGCTCCACCACGTGCCACTCCGGAGTGCTCCACATGGCAACGACACTATAGACCATCGTCGCACCAATCATCTTGCTGCGTTCCAACTTCACTCTCTGAACAAGGATGCTCCACAAGGCAAGCAGGGTCCGAAACCCCCCGCACCCTATTGGTCTCGAATGCAACAAGGATGATTGTAAAGAACCTCAAAATCAAGACATCGTCAACATTCCTCTGGGCACGTTCTTGACATGAACGCCGTATCCACCAATGCTCTCCCCCGGCAATCTAATTGGACGTGGGCCCTGACCTGTGCGCTGAAACAAACTCCTTGCTGCCGAGAAGGTACGACTTGACGGACCCCCAATGATCCCTCGAATCCTTCCTTCACAGGCCTGTCGAAGCAAGTAGCGGTATGTGCTATCACACAACAGGTCTCTGGAGTCCTCAACGGTCAAGTGAGCCAAACCCCATCGATGTGACACTGGCTCAAACATCTTCCTCGCCTTGCCACAAAACGCATGGATCACCAATCCCTGAGACTTAGCACAGCTTCGACGAGTCCTTCGATTCCACGCATGGGGACTATCGGTGCCGTCCTGAAGTGTAACCACACATTGCTCAAGCACCTCTGCACTTACCTCTGGGAATGTCCTGCTCAGACACACGCTGAAAGCCGCATCTGCCTGTGCATCACCTCCATTCATCATATCAACCAACTCCTTGGTCCCCTTGGTCCTCAGGTCCTCGATAATGCACTTGAGACGCGCGCTACGCAAGTCATGCTGGCCCACATACAGTTCATACTGCTCTATCAGCTCAAGCGCAACACTTTCATCCACCTCTGGGCAGCCTGATGTAGTGTCAACCTCAAGATCCCCAAACTTTGGATGATACACCCTGCACCGCGAAGCATCCCAATCTATCCTGTAACCAAGCTTCAAGAAGGCCTTCACTGAAAGGGTAGGGGAAACTGCAGCGTCGCTCAACAACGTTCCAAATTGGTTTATACGCAAGTCACAGCTCCCGCAAGCCAGTTTGACCGGAATGGTCGGCAGCATTCGTTCATCGCCAATCGCCGTTCGTAGGCACGCAGTGGCTCCTCCGTCTATCAGTCCTCTACGGCTATGATCACCAGTCCGGGCAAGGATTTCTGCAGCAGCCTCTACATCGCACTGCACCGAAGGCAATCTAAGGCTTTGAAGAATCTGCGCTGCCTCTCGGATCGCTGCTTCCGAGATTCCACTCTGGCCACCTGCTCCCTTCTGACCCCCCTTCTGTGCTGGAACTGATGCAGACTTCGGATTGCCCTTACTTCCACCTCCCTTTCCTTTTCCATCCTTCCCCTTACAGGCTCCATCCTGACCAGCATCAACCTGTCCAGTGTCACTCTTGGGCGCCTTACCTCCACCTGGGGCCTTGCATTCATGTTTGTGATGTGCACCTCCGCGCACCCAGCATTTGCCTTGCTTATCCGGCGCATGGGCCAGAGAACACATCTTACCCTGAGGACAACCTGCATCTCTGCCCCAGGCAGGGCACACCTTGCGTGCATCCTTTCCGCCTCGCCCTGCTCCAGCAGCGGATGGTTGAGCATTCTCGCTATCCTTACCACCCTTGTTTCCTTTGCCCTTATCTGTACCTCCCTCCTGCCCCACTGCTGCAACTCGCTGACGCTTATTCGCAGCCTCAGGATTCGACACAGAAAGCAACTCCATCTCAGCAAGATATGTCCGGGTGTACTCTTCTACCGCCTCTTGAGCCTCAGTCAAATTTGCTTCACGTAGTTCACGCCGAAGTTTGGTCATTTGGGCAAAGTAATCTGCATCGATCCTGTCCACATGACCATTCATGCCTGAAGATGAAGAAGGAGCAGAGTTCGCCAGAGGCGCCACCTGCACCGCCCCGGATACAGACTTGTCCTGCCGTCCGACTTCGTCCAATCTTCTAACATCTTGTTCGACCAAATGCGCAATCAGCTTTTGCGTCTTGCCGTCATCGTCTTCCTCCACAAAGATGTTCTTGTTGGATTGTCCAGTGAACGCATTGAATTGTTGAGGAACGCTGGCTGATGATGACGATACTCCCTGCATGCCACGCGTTCTGAGAAGTTCGCGAAGTTGATTGCTTCGTATATACTTCTGCTGCAGTCAGAGATGTACTTGAGGCTGGTACCGTGCTTGATGGGAACAGTGGGCTTGGTTGACCCATGTTCACATCTTGCACGATAGGTGATACTGCGAAGCAAGTTTCGGTGATGGCTTTGTCTCTGTTAGCAGGACTACGTTGTGTTTGAGAACCAATGTCAGGGGATCGCACATCATTCACTACTGGAACTGATAACCCTTTCTGACTACTAACTTGGCTACTCACGTACTCCCATCCCGTCTCAGAACGGTGCCCTCGACGATCTTTGGGAATGTTGTTGATTCCTCAGGCGTTCAGCTTCAAGTTCGAGCTTCCAGTCTTGTTGACTTCGCGATTGGAATTCTTCTTGCTGTTTAAGTCGAAGACGTAGCTCACCCAGTTCACTGTGCAAAGCGGTGACGGGTCGCTCACGTTCCAAAGCCTGTTGAGCATGAAACTCAGCCTGTTCCATCTTCACGTTGGCTTCATGTTTGGCGATCTCCTCTCTGTTCAACTTGTTCTGTAGAGCAAAAGCCCCAGATTCTGCCGCGAGGATGGTGCTGTTCGCCTCTTCTTTAGCCATACGTTCCTCCCCCTTGATCATCTCGATCGTCTCTCGCATCGCTGCCAATTCAGATTCCCTGCTTGAAGATGCCATCCTGTACTTCAAGGCTTCATGAGCTTTTTCATGTAGAGTATCCGTCAGCTTCTGGTACTGCATGGCCATGGTGTGTTCACCGCTTTGAGCTTGCTGTTCCAGATTTGCGAAACTCTGTGACGCCTCGTTGCGTATTTCACCCAATTCCTGATGCAACAGTTCTGTTGTCAGCTCATCACGATGATGTTGAGCAGAACTCGCTTCTTCAACACCTCTCATTGCAGGAACGTATTCTTCGGTAGTCTCTTGATGTCGTCGACATGTCCAACTGCGTCTGACAGTAAATTTCGTTGCCGTTCGAGTTCTTCAATCCTCATAGTTGATCCTCGATCTTCTTGTTCATGGAATTCCAGCGATTGTACCATTTGCCTCACCTGCAAGTTCATCGCGGCCAAGTTCTCCTCATGCTGTCGTACTTCACGTTCATGAGCTTTTCTCATCTTCTTCAGCATATAGTGCACACGATGTTCCCCGGCTGCTTGTGCCGTATGGTGTGTTTGACTGACGAGGTTCAGCACCTGAAGTTTGCCGCGATTTCCACCATGCTGTTGGGATAGGATTGCCCTCTCCAACATTGCGTCTGCATTGTCATGTAAATTCCTAGCCGAAGGCACGGGATCCGAGTCAATCGTTTGTCTTCTCACCAAAGGTGGCGAAGACTCGGACGGTTTCTTGGTTGATTTCCGCGACGAACTTCGGGATGAAGATTTCGATCTCGACTTTTCCGTCTTCGACGGGCGTCTCTCGAGCGGCTTGGGCCTTGATCCAGTTGACGTAGATCTTGGCGAAGACAACGTTCTCGGTAACGACCTGGCTCTTGCTCTCTGATTGACACTTGTTGATGACTCCGATGGCTTTACCTTCCTTGTTTCTTCTGTGGTCGATGAGTCCACAGAAATAGTTGTTGCTTCGTCAACAGTCGAGTCCGCGACTGCTGGCATTGCCATATCACCACCAAAAGTCATTGTCGTATCTGCACTTGATCCAGATGTCATTGTTGGTGTGTTGTCACGATGTCAAAATCCTTGTGTAGGCAGAGCCTACGGCTGATAACCTGCGTGAGGGTTTGGTCTTGATGTTCTGTATAATTGCACACCTCACCGAGCTGTATGATTCAATGGTTGTAGCCCACGATTGGATAATGACTGTCTTTCCCTATGCAGGCAACCTCGGTCCACTCCTCTTGCTCTCCGCACACTGGTAGGCGAAGTGTCTGTGCAGAGGGGCAACACACAATGGTTGGCAACTGGAATGCAAGTGAACCTATGCTGATCTTTGCCCTGAGATGTTTGAGCTTCGGGGTTTGGACTTGAGCCAAACATTCGCCGGAGTTGGATAGATCATGGGGTAGCACGTGGCTTCCCACCATGTCTCAGTTCACATCTCATAGCTACATTGTATGGAAGCCAAAGGCACTCCATACGCCTGATAATGACATTGCAATAGGTACCGAGGTCTCTTCACAAATAATAGTAGGGTAATGAAACTACTTGAAGCTGTCCCCTTCGGAAAACAGTGGTGCGGGTCAGGTGTGCTGACGCGCGCTTTGATCATAGACAACTCAGACGAGCATACTACTACAGTAATAATCAGAATATTATAACAAAGATGGAACGGCATCTCACGTATCAACAATACGAATACTAAAATAATTGTAGTGGTACTGATACTGTGATACTAATAATAAAGCATAATACAAATAATAATATACCAAATATAGTAATACTGAAATAATAACAATAATGATAATCATAACACTAAAAATACAAGTACTATGATAATCACACTATAATAATCCAAAGACTAGAATCATTATACTACTAAGTGTTCGTGGAATGGCATCTCATGCATCAACTGAGCTCTGGCACGGCTTTTGGCCCACGAAAGTGTGTCTTTCGAGATGTGCAAGTTGCGAAATCTAGGGATGGTCTGTGGCCGTCAACGATGCACCCCATGCTGGTTCCAAGTGCGACCAACATGTTGCATTTGGGATGCAATCCGGGGTCTGAATCCAAACACCAACAGCTGTTGAATTCGCGCTTGTACCTAAATTTAGCGACCCATAGTGAAACGACGTTCACTGCCAGAAATTGCATTATCGACGTAAGCGGAATCTCGACAACCATCTCATCAACGACACTTCCACACGATCTTCAGTGGCATCATCTAAGGCCCGTACTGCGAACAGTAGTTGCGTCGCAAACACCAGGCCTGGCAGCGGAATCACCGTAAGCGCCACCTCGCAGACAGCAATATGCAAGCATCCGTCGCAATATGAATATACTACAATAACATACCATACTCGTATAATAGTATTTTATGGTATGCGCAACGGGTCCGCCCACCTTGTTGGCTATGAGCATCAAGCTCGAGCATGTTACCTTGGAGCTCTTGAACAAGCAGACCCATGATGCGGAATGCCCCGCCCGAGTTTTTGGCTGCAAGCCCCTTGCAGTTGAGCCACATACATCATTACTCCGGGCACGGTACCCAATCCCATGGCGACGCTCAACGAGGACAAAGCTCGGCTTTACGGCGTTTTAGCCCACGAAATCCGAAGGATGTTGAGGGCGCTTTTGAAAGCCAGCCTGCTAGCCGGCATTGGCATGGGGTCCTCTAGGTTCTGGTGCAATGCCCTGCATAGTAAGGAAAACAGTAGTAGTAGTAGTAGTAGTAGTAGTTTTTGTCAAAGTAGTAGTAGCAGTAGCAGTAGTAGTAGTAGTCGTCGTCGTAGTAGTAGTAGTAGTAGTCGTCGTCGTCGTCGTCGTAGTCGTCGTAGCAGTAGTAGTAGTAGTAGTAGTAGTAGTAGTAGTAGGAGGAGGAGGAGTAGCAGCAGTAGTAGCAGCAGCAATTACGTTAATCAGGCTCCAATATAAAATCATCCCACGATTCAATGATCAAGAGCTAACAGCTGTGTTGCACAGCTTGCTTTCCAGCCAACGAAAACGTCGCACACAAGGTTTACATTGAAAAACTTCATGTGATGGACCTACTTTGCAATTATCAATGGTGCAGCTGATCTATGCGTGGACATGTTCGATTTTTTGAACAGGCTCTGAAAGCGAGAACTTGCTTCATCCACAAACACAGCTGCACATGCCACACATGAAGCAACAACATGAATGCTTGCTCATGGACTTAAGCATCGCTTTCTGCATGGCTTTCTTCTCCTGGCGGCGATCTCATGAAGTGGAATGACACCTCAAGCCGTGCACTGCCGTGGCTCCTTCTCTGGGGGCATCTGTGTGGCGGCAGGGAGGAAGCGGGGGAGGCGGCGGCGGTGGCGCCGGCTCTGCCTGCGAGGTGCCGATACGACGGCTCCAAGCCAAACCCCCCCAGACCTGCCTCCTCCAAGTCATCGAAGACCGGCGCAGAGGTGGCTGCAACCTGGGCACGGAACCTGGGACTTCGGATCATGGCTTCGCTCCTCGCTCCTCATGCCTTCATGTGGCCAAGAGGCTGGTTCCTCAAGCGATAGAGGTCCAGCTCCTGAAAGCAGTCCAGCAGTCCACAAAACAGAGGTTTTCTGCAACAAAGAATTGTCTAGTGAACGCAGTGCGCGGTCTTTTATGTTGTGAGTTGCCCTAAAGCGAGCTACAATGGGAGGGCTGTTCCTTGATCAAAGTGATCGCAAGTGAGGGTGCGGCCGCAAACTTTTAGTGCGGGAGATGTTCCCCGTTAGGGGCGTCTTTCGCTTCAAATGATGAAAGTAGGGGCGGGTACCCGCAATGGCCACCGAACTCTTTTCGAGCAGCACGAGCTGTGCTGGGATTGGCCGGATGCCGTGCTGGATGCATGGGTACGGTCGGTGCGGTCACAGCTCGGGCGAAGACCAAACAATCTGGAAGATGAACAAGCAGCTTTGGTGAAGGGTTTGTTGGCAGTTGCTGAACAATTGTTCCAGCTACAAGCGCTTTCGGACGCGAGTTCTGAGGTCAGGAATGGTTTAATGTGGGAGGTATTGATCAGCGCAGCGGTTTCCATTCATGATGGAGGCAGAGAATGATGCATGGGAGGAGGTTGTTGCATCGTTGCTGGACAGATGCCAAGGAGCGACCCGTGAACACTGGCTTGCACGGTGGCACTTCGCTTGCGCGGCCTGGATAGGAGCCGCGCTCATCGGTATGCTCCTATGGGTCTTGCCCATGTCCGGTCGTCGCACTTTGACGAACATCACAGGACGGTGGACTTACCCGGCAGTGAACGGCCCCCTGGCCTGCAACCTACCCCACATCACCATTCTGGGTGAGAGATGCCAGCCATGTTTTGCTTGAGAAGACAGCACCTACCAAGTCAGCTGATGACTCTCCCGTGATACTGTTCCCAGCATTGGGTTCGCTGGTGAGATTCAACAAATGTCCACCAGTGTCTGCCATGAAGAATAGCTTCGGAGTTGTGACAGGAGTCTTGTCGGTGGATGCGACCGTCACTCTTGCAGGTGGCGCGCGTGTGGAAAAAGTGCGGCCCGATGATTTTGTGCTCACCTCGCTGGACGAAGTGCCCGGAGGGCAGGAAGAGCGCAGTCGGCTGGAGGAGTTGATGTTGATTCACGTCCCCACTAGCCTGAAACAGTCCGCCGAGCAGTCAATGCCAGACCCACCACCTCACTACGCTCCTCTTACAGAGGGCACTCAAGCGCAACACCAAGCCAAGTCCATAAGGAATTATTGGTTTTGTGGCATGGGAAAACGAGCCTGCAGCCGACTTGGGCGAGGTCGTTCTGGGCCGAAGTTGGAAGGCGCGAACCGTGGGATGCTGCGCTTCCACCAGATCTGAAGCGAGCTGGACCAGAAATTTACACGTCGATGAAATCAGCTGGCGTACGTTGCGTTCGGGATTGGATAAACAGTATGTTTTCGGTGGACCAAAGACAGCATCCCCGGTACGTGGAGCTGTTCAATCTTGCGTCCTGGTGGATTTCAAAGTCAAGGACACGGGCTCACCAGCTCAAGTACTCAGCATGATTGGGCAGTGCGATACTTGCGAAATCGCATTCAGGAGATTGGCTTTTTGGATTCACGAGAAGAGGACGGGTGACAAGGATGTGGCTCAATCGATGTTGGCAGTGAAGCCGTCCTCGTTCGCCAGTGACATCGCGCCTTCCTGGCTGGTCACAGAAGCTTCAACATACAGTCAGAGCGAGCACAAGCGCAAGGAGAGAGCTCGTGCTCAGTGGACCGAGTCCACCAAAGGCAAGGGCAAGAAAGGAAAGGACAAAGGAAAAAGGGGCACGTCGGGCAAGGGGCCTGAGTCCCCTCAGAGTTGCTGAGAAGGCAGCCTCGGGGAGGAGCAAGGGCAAAAAAACCCGGGGCGGGCAAACGTTCCCTTGCAATTCACGCCACCAACCATGATTATGAGTTGCTGCAGTGCTGTGTTGGGTGTGATGCAGAAAGTTTTTATTTGCGTCCACCTTCACAAAGCTCGCTTTATGGAAAATTGCGTGCAGCTGGGTGCATTTTCTGAACTTTTTGTACAGCAGCAAACGGCACGGGTCTCAGAGGCACTTTCCGTCTGACAGCAGCGGGAAGGCCCATCATGCAGCTGAAGACGTTCTTCTCCGTCAGCTTTGGCGCAAGGCCAAGCTTGAGCGTGAGGGCCGCCGCCAGTATCGCGCGCTGATGCTGGGACAGGCGGCCGCAGTGCAGCCGCCGAACTTGTGAAAAATGCTCGATTTCAAGACGGATATTGTCGGATTTTGAAGTCCCCATCACAGGTGCCCTTGTGTACTTCGCGAGTTGCAGAGCCCAACGACGACACGTTTGTCGACATGTTGACGGCATTGCCCCAAGTGGGAGCAGTTTTTGTGCAAAGGATGCTAATTGCATTGATTGGACCGGTAAATCACACGTGATCCAGAGCGAATTAAAGGAGCGGTATGGCTTTGTAGGGGGGAATTACGACGAGTATGTCAGGTATTTTCATCGTCAAGATTTGCCCCAGAACATGTGGACATGGAGAAAGTTTTCCGATGTCAAGGCTGGGAGCCAAGGCCCTCTTCTCCGGGCCTTGCTAGCCTGCGACTTCCAGACGAATACTTATGACCCGATGCCAGCATGTGACTCACAAGTGCAGACAGCAACAACACCCGAAGTAGTGGCAGTGGCAGCAGCAATCGCGCATGGCACATGGAGGCTGTGAGCGGCCAAGGCGCGTATAACCTCCTCGGCTGCAGCGGCCTCCTGACAAAGAGAATCAGAAAATGCAGGTGTTCGGTTTAAGGGCCTACCCATAGGCTCCATAGTAGTTCCTTCATGGGATTACCTTATAGGATCCTACATATGAACCCCCAAAGGGAACTACTATGGAGTCTATGGGTAGTCGTTTGAACTGTAAACTGCGGCATCTGCAACGACTTGGCTCAATGCTAATGCTCGACACAGGACCCGGAAGAAACCATCCCACTTTGACATCCGCATTTCGAACTCGTAAACGAGCCAAATTCGCCAAACGTATCGCAGGGAAACGGAACAAACACATCTGTTCAAGAAAAGGGTTCTAATCACTGCGCCAGGCTCCTGCTTCTCCTCATCAGCTCTTCGAGGGACCTCTCTCCGCGTGCACCACATCGCGAATCCCGAAAGCTGGAACTTACCGTAAACCCTAGCTGTGGGAGTTAGCCTCACGATTATTTGGATAATGCGCGTTTTTATTGAACAATATGACTAGTAACCAGGATGCAAGCATGATGCAAGGCCTTATTTTCTCTGATGGGGCCTTCTGGTATAGCCGTTCACAACGCGTGGCGCTCGTCCTAAAGATGGTGTGTGCAAGTCAGATCATCCGAGTTGTTCCTCAACCGGAAACCCTAACACTGTTTCTAAACGACACATCCCGCCTGCACTGCACTGCATCTAAAACGCCCACATACAAAACCACACTCTCCCGCGGCACATTATATGACTATGTAATAACACAGCGGGGCCTCATCAAGTGTTCGCCGCATGCGGGCCGCCTCCGCCTTCGCAGCAAGTCGGGCTTTCTCCTCCTTGCGCTCATCCAGTTGTAGTCTTGCAACTTGCATGAGAAATCTGGTGCATGCGCCCTGGCACTAGGAGTCCTTTAGGAGCTTCTCTTCTTGTGGCTTCACTACTTGGAGTTGTTGACTCTTTAGCTCCGACAAGGGTCTAGGAGTTGAAAGCTTTGGTCAGTTGACGGGGCTTTCTTCAATTCCAGGACGTTAAGAAGCAGTCGCATGTCGCGCCGACCTCGTGCGTTCAAAGATGAAGCTGATCATGGCCATCATCAGTGTCTGTATTGCGACTACCATCATAACACTCGTGATGAAGATATGATGAACAGAAGATGATGACGGCTAGTCAAGTCACCTAGTCTGATGACCAGTTGTAAACGAGGACAAGAGCAACCGCCATGCCGGAAAACAGAATTGGCACAGCTCAGGGGATGGAAAGTGTGCTGTCAAGGAACAATGCTGGAACACTTCGGCTTGCTGTCCCTCCCCTACAAGCAGCATCATCATCAACTACAGCTGCAGCTGCAGCAACAACAACAGCAGCAACGGCAGCGACGGCAGCAGAAACAGCATTTCACCAACACAACCACTACAGCTCTGTCGGTGACACTGTGATGACTTGTCGACTGACAGGCGTCAGGACTTTGGAAGGCTCGGGAAAGCCTTCGTACATTGCTCGGATTGCTCAGCAAGATGTTCGCACAACATCACACGACCAAGTAGAGTGCCTGCCCTGCCTCGGTCTCTCCTGCAGTGGCTCGGCTGGCTGAGTATCTGAGTTCAATCCAATCCAGCTTTCGAGCAAACCTCTAACTGAAAGCATTCATCTAGATCAGACACAAGGATACCAATTAATGTTGTCGAAGATTTCCTCTGCTTGAATGGCTCAAGACTGGCCGATGCTCTGGATGCTCGACGCGTCACTATGCGTCACTACGCAGCCTGAAATGCGTCTGTAGCCGCTCTCGTTGCATTTCTGCGCGTCACTACGCATCACTACGCAGCCTAGAATGCGTCTGCAGCCGCTCTCGTTGCATTTTCTGCGCGTCACTATGCGTCAGCACGCCGTCACTACGCGTCACTACGCCGCCTAAAATCCGACTGCGGCCCCTCTCGTTGCATTTCTGTGCGTTACTTTTATCGATGGCGCGTCTTTTGCTGCAAGCGCGGCCAGAACTATTCCAGGCGCGGAGATGAAAACCGAAGCGGAAAGCCCAGCGATGAAAGTCTTGCAGTTTTTTCATTTGTGAGCCGTTTGAAGGCTTGCGGCGTGTAAGTTGCTAATGCCCACATGTGTCCTTCGCGCGGTTCGACTTGATGAAAGCGGCGCGCTTCATCTTCAACCCAAACTCGGCCTCTCGCGTATGATCGATTGGTTCGGATGGCCATTCAAGTTGAGGAGATCCCGATGGAGCCCCATCTTCGGGTTGCAAAGAATCGCAATGGAAGCCCACGTCCTGTCCGGAAGCTTCGTTTTCAAAAAATGTTTGATGGCTCTGCAAGCATCTTCGCAGTCCGATGCTCGAGAAATTCCAGAAGTGCCGCCATTTGCAATATTTTTCATATGCACCCGGCCCGATGGCTTTGGTTCGCCCCTTATGCTTCCATTTTGCTGACCATTCGTCTAGGAGGTGCACCAGATTCGCTTCGGTTGGTTTCGAATGAACTGCAGCGACCAGAGTTTGCACGCGCGCAGCTCCAGTCATTCAGCAAAAAAAAACCGGGGAAGGGCTCATGCATCAAACGAATTCGCGTGAACTGCGTGCCGGAGGTTATTTCGCAAAAATGAGCCAAAATTGTCGGAAGACCTCCTATGAGGCTGTCTAGCAGTCTTCCTTCTGCAATTTTGGGCCGTCGCGCGGCTTACATCGGACACTCTTGGGGCGAGGCGTCTTGCAGCTTGATGTCGCGGACTTCCATCAGAAGTCCACACTGCTGCTCCATGATCCACAGCTGCCGCACTTCGATTGCAACCAGCGCCTTGCGACCTTTGAGCTCCGCCGGAGGATTCGTGGACGCGTCCAAAAGCGGACCGTTCCCAGATAGTTTGCTCCAGGGCATTTCGACATGATCTGGGCCAGCCCGGTGTGCACCGAGTAAAGCAAGGTCTTGATGCGAAGCCCCCGGCGCTTGGAAGAAAGGGACCGATTGGTGCTGCGAGCTTTGCGAATCATCGACGAGCTGCAGCCTCGCTTCTGGGCCTTGGAAAATCCGGCCACGGGTCTGCTCAAGCTGCGACCCTTCAGAGGCAGGGCTGCCGTGGCCGGACGTCAGCTACTGCACCTAGGGCTACTCCTACCGCAAGCTCACCAGGATCTGGGGCAACTTGGACTGGGTGCCCAAGCGACCCGTCTGCGGCGTTGGCAGCTTTCGTTGCGTACAATCCCGAACCCAGGAGCGGCGCAAAGGGGTCTGGGCAGTTTAAATACTTGCTCACTTAACGTGCCTCGCATGTCGCGGGGGTTCACTCAAGAGTGATTGCATCAGACATGACTGTTGCAGACTTGCACTGGCAATGCCTTGGCCATTAAAGATCTGCCAGAAACTGGTTCTGATTATGAGGGCTGGCGCTTCACGAAAAAGAGTCAAATCTTGCGTGTAGCACCGGACCCAGTTTCTCTTTTGAGGAGGCACCCTGGTGCGCCACCACCGAAGTCTTCGACATGAGCGAGCTTGATGATTGGGATGCTTTTGGCGATGCCGGTGCGGGGGTGAACATGATACAGTGCCATGAGGTCCCGGCCGAAGGTGACACACTCTCCTTCGCAGGCGGGGCAGCCGAGTGGCGACCGGGGGGCGCACGACGAGGACGACGGGCGACGGCGAGCGGGCGCTCGGCGGCGATGCACGAACGCTCGACGGTCGGCTTCGGCTCGGACGATGACGACACGATGACACGGCGACGCAGCGGCGAGAGCCGCACGACGGCGGGCAAGCGGCCCAGTGGGCAGCCGCGAGAGCGGGCGACGGCAGGGGCGAGGTGCAACGAAGGGCCGGCGACAACGACTGCGGCGACCTGCGGCGACACGCACGACGATGTGGCGGCCGGGGGGCGTCGGCTGGGCGTCGGGGTGGCGACGACCGCGGCGGGGACGTAGTGGAGACGACGACACGATCCAGCGGAGACGACGGCACCGGGGCGACGCGCCGGGCGAGCGGCAGCGAGGGCCGAGTCGCGATACCCAGAGACACGCCCAGAGCCGCGTTACCCCAAACGTTCCCCCAGAGCCGCTTTGCCCCAAATGTTACCCCAGAACCTTCAAATGTTGCCCCAGAGCCGCGTTACCCCAAATGCTCCCCCAGAGCCGCTTTGCCCCAAATGTTACCCCAGAGCCGCGTTACCCCAAAGGTTCCCTGTGCCCGGAAAAGCACAGCTGGAGCGAACTCATGAAAGCGAAAGGACGCTGTTTTGTCTCTGTCCGCACGGCAGCTCGACGTTAGTCCCTTGAGCCATAGGCCCCAGCGGCCCACGCTTTGGCAGCACTCTTTAGCTTACCGGCATCTCTGAGGTTAGCAGCGGACATGTACTGACCTAACACCTCAGGAAAAGCTTCACAGTTCCCCCAATAAGGGCTGCCCAAAGCGTGATGTGTGCCTCCCTTTGTTCTTCTGCTCTTCGAGCGATGGAGGCGGAGTGACTGCGCCTTCTGAATCGGACATCAGAGGCTCTGTTCTGCAGCTCTTCAGCTACATCTACGAGCGATAGCATCCCTTGTCGAATGAAGTCCTCCATGGCGCCGTTGCTCTTGAGGGGGTCGGACTTGGTGAGTCCGTCGACGATGTTCTTCTGGTGTGGAGTCCATCGCACCATGGACTGTGTGTCCTGCAGGTCTTTGACCACTATTGACAGCTCCAAGGCTGCCTTTCGATCTTGTCGCCCTTGAGGGTGTTCTTTGAGAATGCAGTCGAACAATGATTTCGCATCGGTGACGGAGCATTGTTGTTGGCGATCATGTAGATGGCACTCGCCTCGCAACACCAGCATGTGGGGCGAGAGGCTGTTGAGCCAGTTGCGAAGCTGAACGTCATGGGTCACTGCATCTCGCACCATTACCTGTAGCCAGTCTACCTCGTTCAACCCCTGGAGCATCGCCTGTGCTTCTCCACCAAAGCTTGAGAAAACTTTCCTCTTGCTGGAACGCCACAAGTGAACGCCACGCCAAGATGGATCCTTTCACCCGCTCTCGTCCAATGGGCAAGTGCTCGGTGGCGATAACTGCCCAGGCTCCTTGCGTGGCATCCATTGGCAGTCCATCGGCGTCCTCTTCTCCTTCTCTGATGGAGATTCCCCCGGCATCTGTCACCACGACGAAGGCCATCTCCCTGGGGTCGGACTTCCAGACGATGAGGGGCCGGTCGGCGGTGTTATGCAGGTGATTGATGCATTGGTTGACAGTGATCACGTCCTCAATGGTCGCCACTGAGAGCCTTGACGCCATGATTGACGCCAATCCTGACATCTCGGGGCGGCTCTCTTTTGCTACCCAGTTCACCTTGTAGATGGCCGATCTGAGGAGCTGGAACTCTGCCTCGTTCAGGAGAGCCTTGCGGTCTTGCTTCCGATGCTTCTCGAGAGGTATCGGCCTCACTTGCTCCCGGATGTACTTGCCTTGGTCGATGAGGACCTTGGGAAAGGTGCGGACTCGTCTCCCAGCGTACTCGGCGGCCCCCCTTTCCCACTTGCCAAACGTAAACCTTCTCCGGAGCGCTTCCTCGACTTGGTTCTCATGACTCGGAAGGGCGGTCACAATGAAGTCATCGACCCCAAGGAGTATCTGCGAGACGTTCTGGACCTGGCCACTCCCGCGCTCCTCAAACTTCATCAGCCAACAGGGCTCCACTAGGTTTCGAACATATCCAAGCTCCTTCACCAGGTAGTTGACGACAGTTGCGCGCCAGCAAGCTGGCGCGTCGTCCAATCCATAGACTGGCACATCCAGGACGATGAGAGATCCACTGGGGAGATCCAAGCCCTCACAGGGCTCCGCGAAGAGCGGTCCAGCGTCCCGGGCTATCTTATCTGATTGGCAGAACGCGTTCTTCACGTCGGTGAACGCGAAAGAGTGCCCCAGGTTCAAGCTTGTCTGGATGAATGCCATCATGCCCTCTCCTTGAGGCGTGGGAGCATAAGTGGACAGCGTCCCGGTGTCGGGATCGGTGTGACCACCGACACACCACCGCGATTTAGCTTTCCACTGGTTGTCCTCTGGAAGTGGTTTCTTCCGCCGGACCATGCGGGATGAGAGAATTCGATCCCCCCATTTCTTCCGGGCGGCCTCAGCTTCGGCGCCGTAGATCACCCGCACGGCCTTAGAACCCAAGATTGCCTGGCATCCGACTCCTCGAACATCTTGGCCTCGGCTTTGCTCAGGTCCTTCAGGGAGATCTCGTCATTCCGCTTCGCCAGGAGATTGAGCTCGCCCTCGCCATTGACATGAAACCAGGAGAGGAGGCTGGAGTCGGAGGTCTCTCTTCTTGGGGATCGTGATGCCTCGCGTGGGCCCGCCTCTGAGGAACCACTCGGGGTCGACTGGTCTCGTTGAGACCTAATCACTCGAAGCAGCTGATGGATTGGTGTCCCGGGCGCCCGAGTCCCCTCATCAGTTCGAGACATCTTCTGGGGAGGCTCTTGTGCTTCCGCTTCGCCGCCGGGTGATGATTTGTCTGGGATAGGATCCAGTGGGCCCGGCGCCTCTGGCTCCCGTGCGGGCTCCTCCACGGAAGATCTGCGGGAGGTAGTCGCCGAGTGAACGCCTTCGTAGGGACGCTGATCC